TAATCTGTGGTCGTCCAACCAGTCAGTGGAAGAACCAGGACCAGTCCTCTTTCTACTTTCCCAGGCTTCCTGAAGCAGTCTGGTAACTTGCTTTGACTCTGATTTCTTCCTTTTCCCATCTCCAAGAGATTGTACTTAAAAGGGCAGATCTCTCCAGGCTGTACAGAGCAAGGAGGAGTGATGCTGTCTGCAATACACTGGATTTCAGCTATCAATGGGCAGATATTTTAAACCTCTTTAGCTCGGTCTCCACAACACCAAAACAAGAAGTTAAAAAGTTAAAAAAAAAAGTTATTCAATGCACCCCACTGCTTTGTCTTCATGCCACTAATCAAGCAGCCTGACTGACTTTGGTCACCGAATCCAATGACCTGACTGGGTGGTCTGGCATCCTGGAGACACAAGCTAAGTCTGTTAATCAAGGGCATGGTCTCCTGCTATCTGAAGGCCACAAAGGCCAGGGCCTCTCTATTGTTCCAGGGAGGACCATTTTTTTAGTTATTGAGATTTTTAGACAAATGTGAACAATTCAAATTATTTTAGATATCTTTAAATTTCACATGGAAAAAATTGTCCCAGGGAATAAAAGGCATGAAACAAGAATTCATTCCATTAAAACCATTTTGAGTCCACAAAAAGCAGCATGTTTCAAAACAATGCGATTTTCTTCCATCCACAAAATACTTAAATGATATGGGTCTTATCTGTGTAATGATTGATTTATTACTGAGATAGTCATTTTCCAACTTGATTTGTATATTTTTAAGTTGTTAAAGGCTTGACTGCATCATTAACAAAACAATTCATGTATCATTAAACTGATTTCTCACACAGGGATACTTTTCTTCCCTGTCCAATTGATGTGCTTTCAAAATCTACAGACACTGATTGCTTTTTTTCCCTAGGGGGAGCAGGGGACCTTCTCTGCTACCTGATCAGGCACTGGTCCATCCCTCCTACCCATCTACCCCAAACTCTAACAAATGCTTTTTTAAAAAATGGCTAACATAATTGGCAAACACTTGAGAATGTATAGTAAATTAAATATAATTATTCTTCCTCTGAATAGATGACAAATATATACAGACAGGGAAGGTGCGTGGGTTGGGGAGAGAAATCATCCAAAGCTAAGGATATTAGTAAGAACCAGCTGTCTCTGTCTCTCTGTCTCTCTGCGTATCTCTCTGTCTGTCTGTCTCTCTGTCTCTCTCTCCCCCCGCCCCTTTTCCTGCCTAAGCACCAGAAAATATCCAGGTTTGCAAGGGATATCATTTCTCCATCTCACACATCTTTCTCTCCTAAACAGCCTTGTTCTAATATTAAGAAGAATTGTAGTTAATAAGGCCTCTGAAGACCTCTGCGCAAAGAAGGCAGCCAGAAGGAGCTCGTGTGCTGCTGCAGTGTGCGGGGAAAGCTCAGGCTGAAGCTGGAACAGTCCACCTTTGTGTGGAGAGCAGGGTCACTAGCTCCAGGCTCCAGGAACATGGTGAAGGGGTGCGCTGCTCTCTGGCGGGCAGACAGAAGAGAAAACTGGCCAGCACACGGCCTCTTCTCAGCTTTGACAACCACACACAGACCTTTGAACTTTCTATTTATATAACAGGGTAGTGAGTTTAAGGCTCTTCCAATCCAAGTGCCAGTTTACTGGCTTGGCTCTAATTAGGCTACTTGGGAGACTTCATATAAAAAGTAAAAACAATTGATTTGGGTCTCTTCGAGAGAGGTAAGGCTTCTACTGACAAGATTACTTAGCTACAATTTGCACTATGCCTAGAGGTTTTCTTTTAGAAGAGTTAGGTTTGTCCAGTAAGGATAGGATAACATTTTCCCCCCAAAATGGACCCTTTTTATGCTGCCGTTTCAAAAAATAAAGGAGAAACACTCCCTGCCCCTGCTACTCCCCTCCCCCGCAAGAAAAACCTCAAGCTGGGACAAAATAGCAGGGCAGTTCTTTACCACCCATGGCCCTGAATGGCTTCATATTTGAGTTGCTTTTCTGAGCTTTTTTCCTCTAGTAGGTGATTAAAGGTATCACCACTTCCCAGAGAGAGGTCCAAATCCAGCCACAGGGGCTGGGTACTTCAAAATGCCATTACCTTGGTGACCACTGACAAACCTACAGAATGATTTCAAAGAAAAAAAAATCGGCTCTATTTTTTTAAAGACCACGGGGTCCCAGGCACCTCTTTTCTCATTCCTTCACAGACTGGTTTATACTGAAAAATCTAACTCAGGTAAATGTTACTTATTCATGCAGAAATCTTACAGAACTTGAGGTTTGGCCCTTTAATCCAGCCCAGGGCTAGCTAGCTCCATGAAAGGATTTCTGCAGTTTTTAAAAGCCAGGATTGGGAATTCTAAAGCACAATGTGGGTGGGGGGAATCCCCTGGGTGTCATTTTCACCTCATTTTCCATATTTATTCACACATAGGACTCTGAACATATATGGGGCACACTTTTTGTATACAGCTAAAGAGAAGCACAAGCTCCTGAAATAAAGGTGTAGGCCTTTCATGGCAGTTCTTGGCAGAGTGGTAAGTTCCATCAGTGAAGCTAAAGAACTGGTCTAGAGGAAAATAAGCTTTCTAAGGTTGATAGTACCATGGGCGAGGGTCACGCATGCGGCTAGCCGCCACTGAGTGGGAATAAACATAACAGGCAAATTCTGGGCTGCCTAGAGACTTTGGATGTGATTTGATGTCAAGGCTGTTTTCCAGGGTCAGAATTCCTTTTCTGGCCCTCTAACACTAATCACACATATTTCCAGTCACCTGAATAATAAGCTTTCATTGCATTTACCAGGGTCATATCTGTGCTCATTTTCTTGGTGGGGGTGTCTTACACAACTGCACAACTGCATACCAGATGTTTATAAAGACAAGCACACAAGCAAGCATACTAGTGTGTAGAGCAAAAAAAAAGTAAACAGCAGAGAGACCAAGAGAGTGTGTGCTCAACACAATGAGTGAAGGCAAGATACATGCTTATCTAAATATACATACTACACTAAGTGATTGGGCAGGTCACACACAAGGAGGGGCTAGAGGCATATATGCTTCTTAAGACACATGGGCCTAAAACAAGGATTAGTTGGAACTCCTGAGAAACAAGGGTGTTGCATTTTCCTCTAAGGAAAGAGAACCCCCAAACAAGAGAACAAGAATTTTCATCCACTGCATAAAAGAAATCAGAGCAATGTGAATTTCCCTTTTGGATTAAGTGAACTGAGAGAGTCTGAGATAGAAGTAAAATTCAAATATTGTGTTAGACATCCTAAAAAAAAATCCCATACCTGCTGGCTGTTTAACATTTTTGAACTACACCCACATCTTCAGTTGTAACAGTGTCTATTAAATTGATGATGTTACCCACACCGTATATTAGGCAAATTGTATGCAAATAGCAAGACAGTACTTATCAGCTGCCTGCAAAATGAATTAGTGCAGCTGAGTACAGATACTGTGCAGAAGCATAATATTTAATTGAGGAGTGATTTTATTGTGATTATTACTGTTAAATAACAACAGCATGACTATTAAACATTGTAGTCTAATGTTTTATGTGTAGCTGATAAAACCCTGCATGAGATCAAAAATGCCTTCCAGATGAATATTGATACTGTGTAATTGGTGTTTTCAAGGATTTACATGGCAGGGCTGGAAAATAAAAGATGACAGGTATTTAAATTCTGGTTATCTTAGATTTGCAATTGAAGCAGTGTGGATCAGTAAAATATAACTACTGCCTAAGTATATGACCTTTTCTCCAAAAATTGAGTAAAAACATTAGAGTAGCAAGGTGACTGTAAAAACACACAGCCTTTAGGGCCAAGATATGACAGCATTCTTACATTAAAAAGATCTTTTACCCTCATTTCAGGTTGGGCCATTAACGATTCCAATTCAAGGGAAAAGCCAGTAATCAACCTTAGAATTCTAAATTACCCCAAATATCTAATTTACTAGAATGAAAAAGATAAATGATATGATAGCTTAAATTGCTGGGGCAGATAAAAAATGGTAACATTTCTCCTAGAGAGGAAGCACAAATAAATAGAAAAATAAATAAATGGAGTTGCTGTGCCATATATATCAATTTCCCTGCTCCCTCCTGACCTCTGCCCAACCCTTAGGCAACTCATATACAATATTTTCCAGAATATGCACAAACCTTCCCATCTGAGCTATCTGCACAATGCAAAGACCTGAGGATGTTTGGGGGAGGGGGAAGAGAGGACAGTGTCAAGTCACTAATTATTTGTATACTTATATTAGACTACCTCACTTCAGGGCTAAGTTAAATCACATTTGCCCCTTAATCAGTACAACATAGTGCTCCAAATTAGCAAATATAGTTTGTACAAGAAGTCACTTCGTTTACTACAGTAGTAAAGAGAACTTATGGGAAGCAAAGTGGAAAGGATGTGTGTCTGGGTGTGTGTGTCTGTGTGTCTGTGTCTGTCTGTCTCTGATTGTCTGACTGTCCAGGGCTGTTTGCTCATATATGAGAGGAGGGGGAGCAGGGAGGGAGGTACATGCCTGCTTCTTTTAAATCCCTTTAAAAAGAAACCTACCAAGATATATAAGCACCCTTAAAGTTAAGCCTTCTATTGAAGGAAGAAGCACTAGGTGTCTCTGCCAGCTGAAGGCACGCAGAGCCGGTGAGGAACAAAACCCGAAAAGGGGGAGGGGGGGAGGAGAGATGGCTCAACACCCCTAAGCATCATAAAATTGCTTTTTCTAATACAACTCTCTTAACTTGAGAAAACAAAAAACCAAAACAAAACAAAACATGAAATCTGCCCCCGTAATCCTCCTCTCCCTATCCTCCCCCAATCTAAGGTGGCTTAAAGCAAGTAGGAAACACTTGGGGGCTTCCCCCTCACTCAACCTCCCCATCTCTTCACCCCCTTAACAAAGAAGCCCCGAAAAGAGGGAAAGGATTAGGCAAAAAGAAGAGAGGAAAACAAAACCCCCAAACCACAAGACCCCAAACCTACCACTGCTGTTCCAAGTCCCAGTCTCTGAAAAAGTCGAATAGATCCATAGCGGTGGGCTGGGGAGCCTCTCCAGAATTGCTGGCAGCTGCCGCCGGCTCGGCAGCCGGCTCCTTGCCCCGGCTCTAAGTGAGCGGCCAGCCTAGGCGAGCGGCAGTAATTGCCTAAGGTGACTCGCCTGGCCAGCGTGCTGCCCGCAGTCTGAGGAAGTGTCCGTCCGCCTGCCAGGCTGCCCCCTCGCCCAGCCTCCGGAGCGGAGCGGAGTGGAGTGGAGTGCAGTGGCCACCGGCCGTGGCAGTGGCCAGTGGCGCGAGGCTGAGGGCGAGGTGGCGCGAGGCGCCCGGGGCTGCGCTGAGCCGCGCCGCGCCGCTCTGCTCGGGCTCCCGCTCCGGCTCTTGCCCTCTCTCGCTGCCTGCCTCGAGCTCTCACTCCCAGCGCCACAATGCTACGTCCAGCTCAGGCTGCTGCTAGTGCTGCTGCTGCCGCCGCTGCCGCTGCTGCGGCTGTTGCCGCCTCAGCCGCAAGCTCAGCCGGCCGGCTGACTGCCTGCGAGAAAGAGGCAGGAGCGGCAGCAGCACCGGCGGCGGTGGTGGCGGCGGCAGCATCACATACACACACTCACGCAGACACACGCGCGCGCGCGCGCGCACACACACACACACTCATACACACACACACATACACACACACATACATACATACACATACACACACACACACACACACACACAGATACACACAGACACACACAGATACAGACACACACAAACGGGGGAATGGAGGAGGGGGAGCCTGATCAGCCAGAAGCTGCGATATGCAGCCCACACATTATCATCTCCTAGATCTGCCCAGGGGCCCCCAACCCCTACCGGGTCCCGACAGGGCCTCTGGCTCCACCTCTGTCAAAATCAGCTGTTGGGGGGGGGGAGAAAGAGGTACGACGGGGAATAGGGCACAGGGTCTGCTGAACCCCAGCAGTCACCTGGCTCTCAGTAAGCAATCATCTCTCCCCCCAAATCGTTCCCCAGTCCCCCCAAGGCCAGGGCTATTCTGATGGGAAGAACAGGGGAAAAGGACGTAAACTGTCACTGATAGCAGCAATGACAATTCTCCAGGCTGCAGGGAAGAGTAGGGGCTGACTTCCAAAAGCCTGGGGACTTGTTCCTGGGGAAAGAGGGGACCGAGGAAGCACAAGCCCCCCCGGCGGCCCGCACAAAGTTCAAGGAGAGCTTGGCGGCCTGCACGCGCCGCTCCGTGCACAAGGTGATCTATCGATTAAGAAGCATTTCTTTAGCGCTTGGGTGCCTGGCAATGTTCAGAGCTTATTGGAGATACAAACACAAGCATAAAAAACAGTCCTGGCCCTCGAAGAGACTTCAGTTTAGAGAAGGGAGACAGGTAGTGGGGAAGAGATTACACAAGAAAATGGCTCTAGAGCAGAGGTTTGAAGAAAACTCGGGGTTCTAGGGGCCTGAGAGGAGGACAGAGCACCTTGTGAACAAGAGGGGACAGCCAGGGGAGAGGCAGACAGACAGGAAATGAATGGGTGTGTGGGAAGAAAAGTGAGGGACCAGCTGGCATGAAGGTAAGATGTGTAATAAGGCTGGCAAGGTAGATTGAGGTAGACAGATGAGAAAGGCCAAACTGAGAAGTTTATATTTGATCCTGGAGATAAGAAGGAGCTAGCAGAGTGACTCTCCTGCCCCAAGCCTAAGGATGCCCAGCACGTAGACAAAGAACTGGCAAGCAGTACTTCCTCTGACTCCTGGAAAGCAGTGGACTGGGAAATGGAATCCCGAAGTTTGGGATGCAGGTGCCACCCATAAGTTACCAGGTGCCTTAGGCAAAAGCTCTCAAACTCACTGCCTTCCTCTGTAAAATGGACTCCAGGCTGGCATCAAACAGACCTGCTTTAGCCTCCGTTCAGCTGTGTTTAGGATTTTTTTTTTTAACCATATAACTGACAGTATGTTCCACACCACCTCACCCTCCCTTCCAGGTTCAAATGGCTTCCTTCCCTTCTTCCCACTAGGCAAATGCACAAAGAGGGAAATCACCCTAAGAATCACCAATCTTATACTTCAAAAAAGAGGCAGGTCCAAGTAGAATAGAACCTGGGAATATCAGATAAGAGCAGGAGGCTGAAACAAGGAAGTCCAAAGAGGGCATGTCAGACAGAGGCCTCTAACCAGAGCCTTTTGCCTCTGAATCCTCAGCTATTTCCTCTGGACCATACTGCTAAGAAATGGAGAATGAGGCCTATCTCCTGCCTTCATTGTGCTGCTGGATCCACCCCTTGGAGATAATATTTTTATGCACTGACAGATACCAATAAAGTTTTAAAATAACAATGAGAGATTCCATATAATCACAGAAGCTCAGATTTCAAAGGGACATTCCAGGCTACTGAGTCCAATCTGTACCTGATCTGGTGCACATCCCATTAGGGTGATCATCCAACCACTCCTGAAGCTGTCCAGTGATAGCACACTCACTAACTCCTGAATCAGCCTGCTCCACTTTTGGAGAGATGGAATTGTTCGTTTTCTCTTCACACTGAGCAGACATCTGTTGCTCTCTAACTTCCTATTACTCCTAGTTCTGCTCTCTAAAGCAAAAAGGAAAGAAGGAAACATGCATTTATTAACCACCTACTATCTTCCAGGTAGTTTACAAATATCATCTTATTTGATCCTCCCAGTATCCCCGGGGGGTAGGTACAATGGTTATTCCCATTTTACAGTTGAGCAAACTGAGGCAGACGGAGGCTAAATTTGTCCAGGGTCACATAGATAGGATGTATCTGAGGCAAAATTTGAACTCAGATCTTCCAGTGCTTCCCACAGTACCTGGCATATAAGTAGGCACTTATATAAATGATTTTTTGATTAACACCAGGCCCAGCATTCCATGCCACCTAGAACAAATCTGGCCACTTTTCTACTATCACACAATGTCAAATACTTGAAGATAGTTCTTGTGTCCTCCCTAAAAGTTTTCTCTCCTAAAGGCTAAATATTCCCAATTCTGCCAATTTATCTCCCTTGTGGCATGGTTATGATTTCCCTCATCATCCTGGTCACTACTTTAAAATAATGTATTTTACTCTTCTACTCTTATCTCCTTTAATTTCCTCAACCATACAAGTATTACTCTTTTTTTTAACTGAAGTACAGGTGATTTTTTGTTTTCTTTTAGAGATGACAGGATTATACACATAGTGATGAAAAGGACCTAGGAGGACATCTAGACCAACCCCTCTTTTTTACAGATAAGGCAACTGAGGCCAGGGAGGTTAAGAGATTTGCTTGAGCTTACTTATAGTGGTGGAGCCTGAACCAGGGCTCAGGTCTCCTCTTCCTAGGAGCCCATGCTGATGTTCATCAGTTCTAAATACAAGCTTTTAAGGAATGGAGCACATCTGTTCAAAAAGCACAATACTGGCTAGTTGGAGGTGCTTAATAATAGTGGAGAATAAGAACTTGTAGGGTGAGCCAGTACTTATTACCAGAAGAAAATCCTAACGTATACAATCATTTCGAAGGGTGATTCTGGATATGTTTTCTCTAGCTTTCTTGCTTTAAGAGAATGTAGCTATTAAGACAAAATAGAAAAATAATGTGAGGTGAGGGAAAAAAAAGCACCAGTCCATAATTAGAGCTCCTGTAGGATCCTTATGTCTCTATCACCTTTGCACTTTCCTTTTTATTGGTAGGAAGAAGGAACAGAAACAGAAAATACCAATCAGACAGTCTTAGTCAACAAGCACTTATTAAGTACTTACTAAGTACCAGGCGCTGGGGATAGAAAAAATGATCAAAACCAGTCCCCAGCCGGGAGGCCAATATATCCTACTGAATTGTATCGTATATAGAAGGGAATAAAGTGTGAGAAGGTTAGAAAAGTAAGAAGGGGGAGGGCCAGCTAGGTGGTGCAGTGGATAGAGCACCAGCCCTGAAGTCAGGAGGACCTGAGTTCAAATCCCGCCTCAGACCAAACACTTGACACTTACTAGCTGTGTGACCCTGGGCAAGTCACTTAACACCAATTACCTAAAAGAAAAAAAAAAGGTAGGAAGGGGGAAGCTCATAAAGAGCTTTAAATGGTCAACAGAGAAGTTTATATTTGCTTGCTGAGATCATAAGTAACCACTGGAACTCATTGAGAGAATGTGTGACATGGTTAGATTATACTTTAGGGGAATCACTTCGGCAGCTGAGTAGAGGATAGATTGAAGTGGGGAGAGACTTGAGGCAAGGAGACCAACCAGAAAGCTACTGAAATAGTCTGGGTGAGAGGTGATGAGGGCCTGTGCTAAAGAAGTGAACTTGTGAGTGGAGATATGTTGAAAGACTAGAAACAATCAGATTTGACAACACATTGGATATTTGGGGTGGGGGTCCTAGCAAGGGGTCAAAGATGACAACAAGGTTCAGGACTGGATGGATGGGGAAATGGCATTGCGCTACACAACAGGAAAGTTGGAAAGATGGGAAGATGGGGAGAAAGATAATGAGTTTGTCAAGGTTGTGATAGTGTACCTAGGTGACATCCATTTCTAGATGTCCAAAAGTTAGTTGGGTATGTGAGAACAGAGCTCAGGAGAACCACCAAGAGGTACCACTTTACTACTACTACTACTACTACTACCCACAACAACAAAAATAATAGCATTTATATGGTACTTAACACTTAGCACAGCATTTCTCGTATACCATCTCATTTGATATTACTTGAAAGCAAAGTGCCTGGGGGACTGAGAAAAGAGATAAGTGGGCCTAGGGAATGACCTGGAAGAGATCAAGAGTGAAAGTGACGCTAGGGAAGACAAGAAAGTACATTCTCATCATGGCTCAGTATTATCTGAGCAAAGCCTCTCAGTAGTACAATGGAAAAAGAAGTCAGATAACCTGCATTACAACACAGGTTTTTTCCCACTTATTAGATATGTAACATTACCACACAGTCACATAACTGTTTGGGCCTCAGTTTCCTCATCTGAAGAATGATAGCATTGGACTAGATGACCTCTGACATATCTTTCCATAACAGAAGCTGACGAATAACCTCTGAGTCCCCAACTTCACAACCAACCTTTATCAAGTATCTATGTGTCAAGTACCATGCCCAAAGTGAACATAACAAGAAAAATAAAGAAACATGCTCCCTG